TACTGGAGTTGCCAAATGGGAGAAATAACAAGGGAGAGAGAAGAAGAGAAGGTGAAAGGAAGGTCAGGGAGGTAAAGGAGGGGGGACAAAAATGGAGGGAACTGGAAGTCACACAAGAACCAGTGTGGTGAAATGAGCACCACCCACCAACCACATGTTGGTAAATTTAGGCTGAGTCTGTCTATTTCACCAGTCACTCAGGAAGGTGATAAATTGCAGTTTTGAAGCATGATCTCTTTGAAACCCAGTACCTGCACTAATTGCATCTCAAATAGCAACCGCTCGGAGATGTTTTCTAGCTGACCCTACTCCCTTATTAACTTCACGACAGTAAAGGTCAGTAAGATGAATTCCCCCCTTCAGGGTCATTGGGTTTTAGGCTGAACAGTATCAGTAACTGTGATTATCTACGTCGCTTTTCTATCTAAGCATTTCAGCATTTCTTCATGCTGTTGTCTGTTACCCTTTAGCTTTTTACCTAGCTGAACCTTTGTTCACTTTGTTTTCACTCAGCACTGCACTCCGGCTGGTGTTCTCTCAACCCTGTTTTGTTTTTCCTGGGCTGGCAGAGGTTTTGACTGACAGATAAGTCCTGTGGCTAGGTCAGTGCATTGCTCCCGGTCTCATATCTGTTCGGTTGTCTTCCAGTTCCTGCTGGTGATTCTCATTGTTTTCATCCTTCGCCTAGCCCTCTGTACTGGCTACCTCTTTACATCTATTTAGTTTTCTTCCCTTGCTGGCACCTCAACCAGCTAGCGTGTCATCTGCTTTACTGCTGGCCATTACCAGAACAGCAAATACACATCCATCTGCTTTACGGGGCTCTGTTGAGATCTTAAATAAAGCTGGCATATAGGTTATATAACCTATACCTACAGAGAGTGGAAGTGACAGAACGATGCAATTTCACCAAAACCTGACATTCTTGCAGTTGTGTGTTTTCAAAGATTAAAATTTGATTTAAGCTTTTCAGTCTGACCCATCTGCGTACATTGATGCCAGAACACAATACTAACTGCCAACAAGCTGTGTTTTTGGCTTCATTAATAATAATGGTTATAATATGTTTCAATAAACAATGAAAATTAAGTCTTAAAAGCTAACCTGTACAAGGAGATTATGATCTGCCACATTCTCCATTAGTAAGCAGTGTCCTTGAACAGGACCTGAAGCCTTGCATGCTCACTCAGCGTTAAGTTGCCCTGGATGAAAGCATCAGCTAAATATTAAGTGGAAAATGTGACAGCAGGTTACCTCTTTGGAGGTAGTGATTAGTGATTAGCTTTCTTTTATCGCAACCAAAAACAAATCAGTGACTGAAAGCAATCACAAAACCTCATGCAGTCATTAACATATGCAGAAAAAGTGATTGTGGTCATCTGTTAAGGCTGCCACACAGTGTTTTTTTAACTCCAGCTCTGCCAAGGTCAAACCAATGTCACGGTGCTTATCAATCACTGGAAATAGGGAAATCTCACTTGCTCTTTAGAAATGAAAATGGCGATAGATGTAATTGGAAACGGAGTAAATGACGTTATCACACAAACAAACTGGTTTTCGAGGGCATGTCCCCTTTATCCATTTAATTCCCCCTGTCCTTGTGTGTGTTCACTGTCTTTACATGAGTGCATCTGTGTGTGCAGTGTCTGTTACTTAGCTTATAGTGATGTGCATCCAGGTCTGTGTAATGCAGGCCAATGTGCTGAGTCTCAGAAGATCAGATCATCACCAAAATTAACACCTGAAAACCTCCATTTACATTAACATGTGTCCAGAGGTTAGGTTCAACATGCATATATTTCTTCCAGATTTGTCATTTTCCCAATAATGCTTACCCCATAGAAAAATAGAAAAATACACACCTGAATAGAATATGGGCGTTAACACTTAAGTATGGGCAAGTATCAGTCGACGCTGGTGCGATAATCAACTTTTAAAGATGCATAACTTTCTCAGTGCCTGGGAGACGTGGTTAAAAAGGAACATGAGGGGAATAACTTTGCATTAGAGATGAGGAAATACGGTCCTGCTAGCAAAGGCAATACAGTATTTCAATTCCCTGAGGTGAGTGTGAATGAAATGCAGACACATATAAAATGCGAATGCAGGGTGTGAGCGAAACAGAGCCCTGGAGGATAGATTTAAGGGTCTAACTTTAAGTTTCCCTGTAGCACCAAATTAACACTAAATATCTGTAGTTGGCTGACAGGGTTGATCAATAGTTAATAATTATTTTGTTTAGGAAAATTCAGATTTTGATCCCCATTCACCTCTTGAAAGGAGTGCCGAATGACCTGTCAAGAAGCAGCTTGACAGATTATGTTAAAACATGTAGCATAGCTTTATCCAGAAAAGAGAAGAGGCTGCAGGTGGAGTGGAGAATAGTTTGAGGAACCATGAATTGAGAGGTGAAAAATGTAACTGCTAATAGGGTTGCAACAAACAATTATCTATATTATCTTGTAAGTGGAAATTCATTCTCAACCTTGGGGAAACATATCTATGGCAAATATTCTAAATGCAAGGTCCAGTTATTTAGCTTCCCACAGCCTTCTTTCCATATACAGTGGGTACGGAAAGTATTCAGACCCCTTTAAATTTTTCACATTTTGTTTCATTGCAGCCATTTTCGAAAAATCAAAAAAGTTCATTTTATTTCTCAGTAATGTACACTCAGCACCCCATCTTGACAGAAAAAAACAGAAATGTAGAAATTTTTGCAAATTTATTAAAAAAGAAAAACTGAAATATCACATGGTCATAAGTATTCAGACCCTTTGCTCAGTATTTAGTAGAAGCACCCTTTTGATCTAATACAGCCATGAGTCGTTTTGGGAAAGATGCAACAAGTTTTTCACATCTGGATTTGGGTATCCTCTGCCATTCCTCCTTGCAGGTCCTCTCCAGTTCTGTCAGGTTGGATGGTAAACGTTGGTGGACAGCCATTTTCAGGTCTCTCCAGAGATGCTCAATTGGGTTTAAGTCAGGGCTCTGGCTGGGCCATTCAAGAACAGCCACGGAGTTGTTGTGGAGCCACTCCTTCGTTATTTTAGCGGTGTGCTTAGGGTCATTGTCTTGTTGGAAGGTAAACCTTCGGCCCAGTCTGAGGTCCAGAGCACTCTGGAAAAGGTTTTCGTCCAGGATATCCCTGTACTTGGCCGCATTCATCTTTCCCTCGATTGCAACCAGTCGTCCTGTCCCTGCAGCTGAAAAACACCCCCACAGCATGATGCTGCCACCACCATGCTTCACTGTTGAGACTGTATTGGACAGGTGATGAGCAGTGCCTGGTTTTCTCCACACATACCGCTTAGAATTAAGGCCAAAAAGTTCCATCTTGGTCTCATCAGTCCAGAGGATCTTATTTATCACCATCTTGGAGTCCTTCAGGTGTTTTTTAGCAAACTCCATGCGGGCTTTCATGTGTCTTGCACTGAGGAGAGGCTTCCGTCGGGCCACTCTGCCATAAAGCCCCGACTGGTGGATTGCTACAGTGATGGTTGACTTACTACAACTTTCTCCCATCTCCCGACTGCATCTCTGGAGCTCAGCCACAGTGACCTTTGGGTTCTTCTTTACCTCTCTCACCAAGGCTCTTCTCCCCCGATAGCTCAGTTTGGCCGGACGGCCAGCTCTAGGAAGGGTTCTGGTCGTCCCAAACGTCTTCCATTTGAGGATTATGGAGGCCACTGTGCTCTTAGGAACCTTAAGTGCGGCAGAAATTTTTTTGTAACCTTGGCCAGATCTGTGCCTTGCCACAATTCTGTCTCTGAGCTCTTCAGGCAGTTCCTTTGACCTCATGATTCTCATTTGCTCTGACATGCACTGTGAGCTGTAAGGTCTTATATAGACAGGTGTGTGGCTTTCCTAATCAAGTCCAATCAGTATAATCAAACACAGCTGGACTCAAATGAAGGTGTAGGACCATCTCAAGGATGATCAGAAGAAATAGACAGCACCTGAGTTAAATATGAGTGTCACGGCAAAGGGTCTGAATACTTATGACCATGTGATATTTCAGTTTTTCTTTTTTAATAAATTTGCAAAAATTTCTACATTTCTGTTTTTTTCTGTCAAGATGGGGTGCTGAGTGTACATTACTGAGAAATAAAATGAACTTTGTTGATTTTTGGAAAATGGCTGCAATGAAACAAAGAGTGAAAAATTTAAAGGGGTCTGAATACTTTCTGTACCCACTGTATATCCCCCATGTACATCAACCTGGTATCACGTAAACAATCAAGTACAAAACGTTGTGGATGACATGCACATAATAAGACGACTGGGGGGTGCAATTAAATCTCCTGGAAGAGTAAATTTAATTTACCTTACATTTTGAATATTTACCACATATTTTTCATTGTTGATTAATTAAATTTTTGTTCTTGCTGTTCTCATAGCAATTACTCTTTTAGTCTATAACATATTAGAAAATAGTGAAAAATGTCCTTGATAGTCCCGAATCCCAAGGTGAGCTTGTGATAGAAAACAGAAAAGCAAAAATCCTCACATTTGAGAAACTAAAACCAGCAAATGTTTGGTGTTTTTTTTTTTTATATATTTTGTTTCTGTGGAGTTGTGAAACTGTATCTCAATCTGGAAGTATTTACTCAGATTAGTACAAATGATTTGTACATGTGCATACTCAAAGAATGATTTAAATAATTGCATAATAATAATTGTTCAAGTTCACCCCAGGTAAAACTCTTTTAATCCTGCCATCTCTGAGACCTGCAAATGTGTGAGGTAACCTATTTTCTTTGCCCTGAACTGAGACTCCCAGGCTAACGCTGCGTATACCAGACTGTGTACCGCTCTGCTTCTCCAGCGTACATCAACAGATAGCAGGAAAAAAAAACACTAAAGCATGCTAAATATAAACATTTTATTAAATTAGTTTATTACTAATTGAAAAGCATCAGACATTAACAGCAGTGACATTTTTAACATGAATGAGGCTGTGAATGAACGGAAAAGAAAAAACACACACACACAGGCAATAAAAGAAACAATATTTACTTGGTGAAGTTCACTGATAAATATCTTTTCTACTTCCCTTAAGTTAAAATCTCTCAGGCCTCAGTTTTATAAACAGAAAGGTCAGAGGCCAAAGTCACGTACAGTTCCCATGGAAACTGATTGACAGGTCTCTTGACTTTGTCCTGCTGACCTCTGCTCTCCTTGATCATCAGCCGGATGTCCTCGTCATCGAGGATACGGATGAGGTCGCCGTCGGGGTCGCGGTAGTTCAGGGCGATGTCGTCCTTCTTGAAGATGTTCCTGAAGAGAAACCAAAACAGAATGACTTCAGACTCTTGGTGTACTCAGACATTTTAACTCCCGTGACATGTGTCCCTTTTTTACTTTTAATTATTTGAGCATAATACATCACAGCAGTCGGACTCAAGTTTAAGCAAGATTAAAGTAAATAAATTAGAATGACTTTTTTTCCACTCGTTCTGCTAGAAATGGAAAAGCATGAGAGACCTATTGGAAAGCAGTTTTCAACATTTTAAACATCTTTGAAAACACATGTAGACCAAAAAGACAGAAAGGGATAAGTAGCGATAACCTCTGATTTTGAAAAAAAGATTCATGCTACTAATCATGCTCATTTTAGATGGAGGTTTAAAAAGTTGTTTAGTTGTTTATGGCAAGTGCACCAAAAGCTTATTCAGTCCTCTGAGGACAATTAAAGATACAAAACCTAGGACTTAATTGAATCTCACTAGCAAAGATGATGACGACAAAACACACCAAAGCACATATCACCGTTTTTTTGCCAAGGCAGAGCCACCAACCAACCCAAACAGAACTAAAGCGAGGAGGGGGCAGAGGAGGAAGAGTGGACAGACCCTACCGAACAATCACCAGGAGATGTTAAGCCCACAGGCAGCTGTTAGCATCTCAGATACCCCCCTGTCAGATGAATGTGTCTCTATTGTCAAAAGGACTTTGCACCCACTCACCAATCTGACCTATTCAAAACAAAAACAGATATTTTCCATTTCTACCACAGTATGCACCTACAAGCATGGTAACACCAGAATCCAGTTAGATCCACAACCACCATAAAGCTAAGGCAAAAATAAATGCAACCAGTTTCTAAATAAAGGCTAAAAAAGTTCATGGCAGTACAGACCAAATAAAATGAAGCAGATCATTAACAACTATCGGAAAATCATAGAAAGCGATCCACTTCTTAATTATGTCTTTCTATCTGCACCAGCTGTCAGTTTCAGAGGAGCACCAACTATAAAGAGACAAGTTGGTCCATAGCCATCTACCAGGAGACAAAAAAGGCGCCGCATCGCAGACCACAAGGCTTTTTCAAGTGGTAGATGTAACCACTGTGACACAATGCAACAAACTGACAACTTCAAGGATGTGCACTCAAATAAACGTCTACTATAAAAAAAAGATTCATTAAATTCAACAGAACTCATGGAGCATACCGCCTACAATGCCCATGTGGTTATTTCTAAGAGGGAAGAACAAAAAGAAAACTAAAAGCAAGTCACCCCCTCCCCTTAAATCCCTTTACACTCCCCAGTCATCTCTCTCCTCACTGCAGGTAACCAACTTGTTGTTGTGAAGTATTGGAAGCTACACTGAAAAATCACCTTTATTGTATCATTGTATGTCTATTGTTCAGCTCTGACACCACAGCTAGCATATACATATATATCATTTTACTTTATATGAGTATTTTTCTATGAAATCAACATTTTATATGAATGTTTGTGAATACTTGATGCTATTGATTGTGTATGATGGATTTGCTAACATTAAAGACATTGATGCCTTGTTAGAATCTACCTAATTATGTACACCGACTTTCTTGAATGCACCTGTGACAATTATCTACTGCTACTCTGATTGCCTGGCAGCTGACACCATCCTTGTTATATCTGTGAGGTGTGGTTTGTTTTTTGATGCCCTGAAGAAGACTGTGAGTTAAGCCCATTTATTAAAGGCTTTTTAATTTTTGCAAAGAAATGTGCCTTGGTATTTTTTTCTTATGACTTATTGAACACAAAGCAAAGAACAAATTATAACCTCTTTCTTTTTTGGTCTAATTTATTTGATTTCTATTCCTATTTTATTTCGTCTTACTTTTATTTGTTTTGTAAGGATTTGTATTTTAGTGTTGCTGTTATTTTATTATTATCGTGTAGGGGTACATATCCAAACTGTTACACTGTATGTTTCTTTTATATTGAGTGTTTTTCATTTTTATTTTAGCAGCAAAGAAGACATTATAAGGCTGCACCATACATTTAGCAAAGGAAATCACTGCCCCCACAAGGCCTTTGTTGATATGTTAAAGTTTAATTAAAATTTAGCTGTGAGAATTATCACCAAGAAAACATGTGCTGGACCAAAGGGAATGGGTAATTTGTGCAGATATGAAGTTTGACAACTTTACCACCTTCTCTATTCACATTATGTTTTGCATAAACAGACAGTAATGTTTGTCCTCCGGAATTAATAGAGAGACATGGACAAAAACAGAAATAGAGAGACATAGATTTTATGAGGTTTTCTACAGGATTCCTGGAGGCACAACATTAGGAAGAAATACATCTGATGAAGGACATGCAAGAAATATTTAAAGTCGGTTCCTGCCACCAGCAATAAAAGGACAGATGGCATTTTCTCTTTAGAGGACATACATTTCTAATCTGAGCCATGCAGAAACATACTTTAGTAGTAGTATGGTCACAATGTATACAATTACATACTATGCATACTCAAACATGAAAATAGCGTTATTCAGTTCAGCAAATATTTCTAGGTGGTGAGGGTAGTATCACCAATCCTCTCTCTTCTTACTTACTATGTCCTCATACCTCCACCATCACCCTCTTCTCCACCATTCTCTGCAACCCCCACCCCCTCCCTTTATCTGTGCAAAGTAATATTAAAACTCAAGACCAGGGTCTCATCCATCCTACTCCAGGGCACAATAGGCCTGAACACAGAAAAACAATAATGAGCAGATCCGCGGAAGAAATTAACTGATTATGAATGGGGATGGCTAATCACCATAGTGCTCACCTATCTAAATTACCAGATAATGAGAGATAGAGGGAGAGAGAATGAGAGCGAAAAAGACAGAAGAACAGATATGATAGTGTAATGAGCATATGCATTCAGTGATGGTGATGGTGGTGCTGTGGGAGAGGGCTGGGGAGGGAGGCGGAGGTCCCGCAGAAAACTAATTTGACGAGCGATGATGATTGGCAACTGGCAATTTGCAGGTTTGCAGTGCACAGCATGTAAATATGCTTGCCCTCAGGGCAGGCCAGTGAATTAATGGACCCATCCTTATTTTATTCTGGAATTAACACAAAAAAATACTGAAAGAGTGAAATGCTGAAAGCATGGTGACAAAGGTCATCTGTACATCTCCAGAAGAAACACTAAATGAGGAAATCTGCTCTGCTGTGCAAAGATCGTAGAACATGCTTTAATTTGTAATTTAAATGACAATGACATGGTGACAAAGGTCATCTGTACATCTCCAGAAGAAACACTAAATGAGGAAATCTGCTCTGCTGTGCAAAGATCGTAGAACATGCTTTAATTTGTAATTTAAATGACCTTCTCTTAAAGTCTAATTTATTAAAATGACTTTCATAAAACATGCCACAAATGGTTTACAAAACAGAGGTCAAACATCACAAGTCACATTTTGTGCTTTTTCACTGATGTAATTTTGACAAAAAGAACAAGAATTAGGAAACTGGGAAAAGGCTTACGTAACATTGTTAACGTTTTTATGATGCGAAATTATGAAGGTTTTCATCACAAAAATAGTGTAACTGTCACATGCTCCACTGCCTTCAATTCAAGCCTTCGTTTAATACTGCATGTCAGCTTTATGTTCCATTATCACATTTTTTGGAAGGCGTTGTAATTCACTCACAGGTGTGAGGTAGCATACAATCATTTCCCCCTCCGCAGCCAAACAACAGTGAGCTCTTAACACCCACAAAATGGATCCTCACATGTCTCTCAATCACAGATTCCCGCATGGGTGTAAATTAAATAAAAACAGGACATACAACACACACTAAATGTCCATCACATCCTTTGTTTCTCCCTAAAATGAGCTATACCGCTACTGAAAAAAATGATATCAAGTTATAGGTTTGAGGTTTGTGGTCTAGATTTTGGTATACACTTACCTCATACGAGACAGTAGATCCTTGTACGTCGGCTGGATAGTGAGGTCCTCTTGCACACACACATCTCTGTAAGAAGGAACAATCAAGCAGATTTACAAAATTTAGACCAGCCTGAAATATTCTAAAGGTGTAATTGCCAGATATGTAGCAATAAGTAGAACAAGTTCACTCAATAAAAGATTTACTGTTTGAATTAAGAAAATCCAAAACATATCTGAAGGCTATTAAGATTGTGAAAATCCCTCCCCACAGTCGAACTGCTTTATGCACAGCATTCATAATAACACTGCTGCATTGTTGCATTTGTTATTTTTATTAACACGAGCTATTGAGGAATATGAGTACCCCTGCTGTGGAGTGATTCACTTTTGATTTTGTTGACTCAAAAATCCCTTTAATTTCAGAGGGAAACAAAAAAAAGCATTCAAACCTTTACATATTACAACAAGTTACAATCTAAAAAAGGCCCTTTAGTGCTGGTTGACTAAAACTGTACAGCAGATCATGAAGTCTGAAGTCTGGGGTGCTGCGTTACCCTTAACTTACTTTTCGCTACAATCCTGTCCCGTTAATGACGTCTATACAGTAGAAAGTTCAAGTGGATGCATGGTGACCAAAAACACAAGCATGAAATCCCTCATCTTTTCACATTTTCAACTTATCCAAAGAGTCAGACATATTATGTGAACCTGACACTCAAAACACTTTTTACCTCTTCAAATCAGAATGTCCAATTCTGCATTACAATTAAATTACAAAAAAAGAATCAGATCCACCTAACAATAGACATCCTGTTAACTCATCACTATCAAGTTATTAATTACTCTCATTTCCACACACATATACTCAGACACCCTTCTGAACAGACCTGGTGTCGACTCCAGATTGGGTGAGCAGGAAGCAGCGCAGACAGCTGTAGGTGTTGCCTTCACCCTCAACTTCTGGGTCACTCTCTGGGAGGGGCTTGATGATCTTCACAAAAGATTGTGGGAAAATACCTGTTTGATTGTTCACTGTGCCCTGAAGAGAAGACAGGAGGACGGAAGAGGGAAGAGGAGAGAACAGAAGATAAGAGAAGAAGGATAAAGAGGTGATGAGATACAACATATGGGTGTCATTCCAGAGGATGGAGTGATAAGGGACTGATGTGAGGATGAGATGGGTTGATGATTTAAAGAATAGAAACACAAGAAAGCAGCATGGACGTGCATCTAGAGAGACATTTTCCAGGCTAATTAGCCTGTTCTTAATATCCTGCTGATGTTACAAGCACTCAACACTACAACAAAGCCTTTTGACTACACCCCTGGTGTCTTTGCTTGTGTGTGTGAATCTGCAAAAACACACACACGGCAGCACAAGGCAGTTTTGTATAAAAACAGCCATGTGATCAGGCAGGGGTAAAATAAATTCATATTTGAAAGAACAGTTTAAGCATACAAAAACCTTCCTGTGAACTGGAGCTACAGCAGAGGGGTTAGTTTCTCATTTCTACAGCTTCATCAGTTAGGTTATCATATGCACAGTTTACTGAGTTTAAATTTACACCTTTAAAGTCTTGGGTTTTGGCCACACGTCACATAGGCTGCTCATCAAATAGAAAGTCTCAGATTTTCTCTGGGAACCCACAAACTGTTCAAGTTTCTCTCCACTGGTGTGTTTAAAACATTTACCTTGATGCACCAGTCTGCCAGTTGGATTTGTCACGTTTTCCACCCACAGCCGCTCTGTCTACTGACTAAATCAAAGGCACTCAGTCAACTTTTCACAAGTTGTAAGTGTTGCATTAACCTCATCCACCCCAAAAAACAAAACGCTTACGCTAGCATGGATGCAAAGTTGCCAAAAAAGAACAACAACATAAGAGTTTTGCAGTGTTGAACAAGGTTATCATTATCAGTCTTTTCTGTTACAATTTTTAGATATCTCTAGAAAGCCAGGGGCAGTATGAGTGCATCGTCCTCCCCCTCCATTTTGATTTTCACTCTCTCTCCCACCACATCAGCTTCCACCTCCTCCCTCTCTCCCACTCACCCACTCCCGGCTTCTTTCTCAACACCTTAAACATTTTTAAACAACTCATTCCCTGACCTTTCTTTAAGTACTTTGTGACACTGCAGATTGTCTATGACAATAATTTGAAGGCACCAATGTTCCAGTGTTACATTTTTATGTTGAGCAGCTAATTAAAATGTCCCACATCCCATTTTTGGACGACGACAGTGACTTACACGTGACAGTTGCAGTGTATAATCAGGACATTTTGTTCATTAAGTAATTGTTCCTTTAAAGGAAACTGGAGCAGGGCACCTCAAATCACAACGGTGGAGCTACTTTGTGGTCACTGCACTCAGCTGCTGCAATGTAGGGATGTTATGATTTTTAATAGTTGTTTTTAATTTTAATTTAAATTAACAGTTTGAAGGACTTGTGAAGAGACTGTTTTGTGTGTTTCCGTTCCTGCTTATTTTAAACATTTGGCAAGGTAAAGATAATAATACAAAAGATCATCAAAAAATCATTAAATAAAGCAAAATGGAAAATATACTTCATTGTCATCCTAAAACAAATGACAGTGACCTACTGCTATAACAGCCTCCAGCCTTTCTACAATATGTTATGGCCTGGCTGCAGGGATCTGCTCAGCATTAGTGTGGTCGGCCACTGATGTTGAGTGAACAGGCCTTGGTGAACGGTGGCATTCCTGTTCATCCCATAAGTCAGGTTTCTGTGCGGACCAAGGGTGGTCTGTGTGGTCTCTCATAGACATGGGTAGTTAACAGTTTACTTCATGCAGACCCTCGTGGCCACACAGATACAGAAACTATAAACTCCATATACTTCTGGCCATCTTTTGGAAGAGAAGAAGAGGACGTGGTCGTGCAGCCACTCATTAAGGTATCAACGCAATCTCCCTCAATTCTCCTCATTCTGTTTTCATTCGCTATGAACTCAGTCCCTCACTTTTCATCTCTTTCCCTCCATCTCTCTCTCGCTCTCCTCTCTGCCTCTCTCTTTTGTCCGTCTCTGTCTTTGCCTCCCTCCGATTGTTTGCTTGCTTGCTTGATTGATTGCTTGATTGATTGATTTTATTTATGGACTATATAATATATATATTTCTAACATAGTCCTAAATGTTAGAAGACAAAGGAAACCCAACGAGGCACAAGACATTCCTAATAAAACATAAAAACTAAACAACTCAATCCTGATATCCCAAGGAACATCACTGTATTTATAGAAAAATAATTCCCCCATCAAAAAACAAGAATAGCTAAAACAACAATGTAATTTCATTATACATCTGTTATTCTGATCCATAAAAAAGTCAGTAACCTCATTTCTATAAGCCCCTCTCGTAAAAACTGCTCTCTTTTTCTCTCTTCTTGGCTTTTGGTCTCCTCTCCCCTTCCACCTATTCTATCTATCTTTTCCATCCCCCCCTCTCATTCTCATGTGTCTTTCACTGCCTTCCACTCTCCCACTCTTTCCCTCCCTTTCTCCTTCTCTACCTCACTCTCCCCTCCCTCTCTCACTCTCCTACTCTCTCTCTCTCTCTCTTCGTTCTTACCTCCAGCCAGTCTGCGTTGACTCGTTGCAGCAGAAAGATCACCTCTCCCCTCTTCAGGTTCAACTCCGTCTTGTTGTTGCCGCGAAAGTCAAACATCACCTGGGACACACACACACACACACACACACACGTCAGTGAGAGGAGTGAAGAACGACAGGAGAGAGACGGACACACTCAACAAAGAGAGAAGAGACGGTGAGAGCGGAAAGGTAAGACTTAACACACTTTTTGCTAATAGAGAACAATGTGTGAGTTAATAAGTGAGACAAAGAGTGAGGCAGAAGAGATGCAATTTCTTTTTCAGTTTGGAAAAACATTAAGATTTGTGAGAAAATTATCGAATTTATACACAAAAGGAGTGAAGTTTGGAGCGTAAGAAGAACCGTGTGCATGTGCATGTACATGGGTGTTATTGTGCGAGAGAGAGACAGAGAGTGAAGGGATGCGAGAGAAGACAAGGATGAATTTATCTACTTGAAGAAGTAAAGATTTGGAAGAAAGAGCACTGATACGAAAAGGAGCGAACCTGTGAGATGTGAGTGTGTGTGTGAGAGAGAGAGACAGAAAGACAGAGAGAGAGAGAGAGAGAGAGAGAGAGAGAGAGTCAGAGAGAGTGAAAAAAAAGCAAGAAACAAGAGATGTAAGAGAAGGATCATTTCATGTGTTCAGTTATGCAGCTGTTTTATGTCTGTGTTTGTGTGGAACTAATAACATATTTAATAGCAATATGTTTAACAGTATTGGGAAATCCGTGTTAAGTGTTTGAAAGTGTGAGTAAGTCATGATTGTTTGCATCATCATGTAGATCATTTTCTGAAATGTATGTTATCTAACACTTGACTCATCGATTACTGATTGACCATTTCAGCACTACATTCATGCATGCAGAAATGTGTTTACACAAAATGTACTGTACTGGCTAGGATAGTTAGGTATTTTTGCATCTCTGAGTGTGTGTGTATGTGTGAGTGTATGTCTGTGGGCGATGAAGTAAAAAAACATGTAGAGGAGTTTGCAAAACTGGTACAGCCTAAGGAGATGCCACGCTGCAATGCGAGAGTGAGTGTGTGTGTGAGAGTGAGGAGGTTTGATGCTCAACCACCCTGGTTAGCATCAGTGTGGCTGGAATAAAAGCATGCCAGAGTTGAATTTGCATTTGAAGTAGAACTCAGTAGAGTCATTACCAATGCTTTAAACCTTTTACAGTCCTTTTGCAAAGACACTCCTCAAACAGACAGGTGATAAAGTAGCTTATTACACAAACACACACACACACACACACACACACACACATATAGAAGCACAAAAGCATTCCCAAATGCAATACAATAATATTTTCACTGTGTAATGACAAAAAACCTTGGACCTAAAGCAAGTACACACTCAAAAAGAGACAAAAAAAGAAAGAAAGAAAGAAAGAAAAATTATATTGGACTAAGAAATTGGGGAGCGTATTACAGCCACAGTAGGAGAGCAATCACTAGAGATGGTAACACTAAAAGAGAGATGGAGACTCAGAAGAGGTACAGTGAGACCAAAAAAGAACGAGGAGCGGTTAAAGCAGTGGGAGGGAGGTGAAGAAGAAGAGGAGGAGGTGGTGGTGGTGGTGGTGGTGGTGGTGGATGAGGTGGAAGAGGAGGAGAGAAGAAAAGTTAAACAGAGGTGCAGGGCTGTAGAGGGCTGGTAGCTGTTTTCATGTGGTTGTTTCATAGCGAGTGACTCTGTGTGATAATCCTCACAGGACAGTGAGTTCATAGGTGTCATTTACGCTGGAGACGCTGGGTACATGTCCCCACCATATTTTGTAATGGCCATCACTTTTTGAAAGTATTAGTAAAAATTGAAAATAGCTTGCACCAAGAAATGTTAACTAACAAATGAAAATGCTTTGAGAAGGTTTATTTGCACATTAAGAAAACATGCAATGCAATTAAAAATTAACAAAATACACCGTAAATTGGAGCAGAAAAATGTCTCCAGAATACAGGAAATTACGAATTTGATGCTCAACCCCCCCCCCCCCCACCACTCATATACTTATCAAATAAAATTCAAAAGAGTGTAAAAAATGTTGTCATGCATCGTCACGTCTCATAACCCAAATGTATCATCACACCCCTTATCTGAGCCCTTATGTCCCCACCACTTGCACAGTGAGTGATGAGTGAGTGAGTGAGGTGAGTGAGTGAGTGAGTGATGAGTGTGAAAGAACGTTTGCCGTCTTATAGTGGTCAACCAATATGGATTTTTTCAATGGCTGATGCTGATATTTAGAGAGCAGGGTGGCCAAGGCTGATATATAATGCCATTATCAAAACAAAGAAAAGTCATGTTTAATTCCATTAATCATGGAGAGTAAAATCTAATATACAAGGTTATCTTAGCCATTAAAGTGTTGTTTTAGATTAGAATAGAAAAATACATTTGGTTATGTCGTAGATTTCAGAACATGTAAGGGAGAGTGGGGTACAGTTTGTCTGAAGTAACAGAATTCAACTGCATTATTCTCTGCTGTATAAA